GAGAAATCAGGAGTTGGATGCACAACAGAAGACTCTGGCAGAAGTCCAAACCAAGGAAGCTTCTGCTCTTCCTTGATGAGGGGCAAAACCAGAAATTACTGACAGTTTCATGAAAGAATCACTAGGAGAGACAAGAAAGACAAAACAGACCTGAGTTGCCCAAGATGGTATAGAACTGTGCAACGAGAAAGGATGCTACAGCTTAGATGGAAGAAGTAGAGTCATAAAATTACAGAAGAAATAGAAAGGCCTTGAGAAGAGAAAACAGATAAACAACAACAGTGCTTTACAAGAGCATAGCACTCGAAAGTCATACAGACCATCCAGAAAGTCATCAAAAAGTAATACAACAAAGTCAGGGACAGATCCTAGGAACTTTCAAACAGAGCTGTTGTAGAAAGACAGTGTAAACATGCAAGGACTTCTACCAAGGTAATCTAAATTTTCCTTTATCCTGCTGAAGCTCTTTCTTTTAATACCACCACCAGACTAGTGCATGACTAAGGGCATGTGCTCAGGGAACTGAAGCAATAACCTGAAGGAATTACATCATGCTTTCACACATCTCTGCAGAGCACGGCAGGTGTGACGAGCACAGTGTATCGTGACAAACGCAACAACCTCAGCACCGGGGTTACAGTAGTCACTGCAGTTCTCTATTGCAATACCCAGGGCTCATTCCCCAGGAACAGGAAACTGCTAACCTGGCCTGAGCAACAGCTAGGAAGCATCTGGAAGTAGGAAAGTCGGTAACCTCTGCTTTGGAGTGATGTCACCTTCATAGCGAGTAAAGGGCTGAGGGTAGCAGAACAGCAGCAAAGCTGGCCAGTGCTGCTTACTGCAAAGGTCAGTGGGGAAGCAAGGTCATGGCGACTGTGGTATCAAGCCTGAGACTTATATCAAAGGAGGGAGACACCGAGAGGTCTGGTTAGGAGACTGTGGAGTTATAATCTTAAATCTTAAAATAGAAATAGAAAAGAGGAATCATTCCCATGATGACAAATCTCTCAGTTTGCCAAAATCTGAAAAGATAAGAGCATGTCAAGCACATCCAAGCAGGACTTCTGAGGATGGTTGTGTTCTCAGTAGTCCTCTGTCAACACAACTGCTGCAGAATATCTTTGAATTCAGATGTCTCCAAAGCATTACACAGATGTCAAAAACAGTGAATAGGACTAACAGTGCCATTAGAGAAGAAGAAGCTGAAGTAATTGGGTCCCGTGAGCCTATGTAAGCAGTAAGAAGATGGAAGTCATGGTGGCTTGTCCATGTGACCAGAACAACAGGGCTAGCAAACACGATTCTGTGGGGAAAAATCGAAAAGGAAAGGAAAGCAGAATGTCCAGGGACAGCGTGACTCAAAAACATCAGTATCTGGATGGAGAAATGATGGGGAGATCTAAAGAGTAAAGAAACATGAAGACAGATTCCAGTCAGTGTCTAAAGATGATGCTCTTCAGAGCATGTTGAGGTAGTAAAGGGACAGATGAGACAATCATAAATATTTATAGCAGTTCATAACCCGACTGTCCTGTTCATTGATTGAGTTGCGCAAAGGACTCAGAGTTCAGTCAACAGTGAACGACTAATTCATGTTACTAATGCTTCCATCACCCATACAAAATTTTTCAGTTAATTCTGATACCTTTGTTTCAGACTGCTCAAAATTTTCCATGGATCTACACATTTCCCCTTTTATTTCCTGAAGGTGACTTTTGCCTGTGGGCTTCTAAATATCAGGTAAAACTCAATATGCTGTGACAATCTGTTTGGCTCACAGAACCCAGCCTCTTTTTGCTGTTGCTTTTGATCATACTCTTGACATCCTGCCACTGTTCTGGTGAGATGCAGAGATTTCCTTGCTTTTGGGGTGTCTTGAGGGTAGTTTTATGAGCCCAAGAAAGGTGAATTTTGTGTCTGCAGTTTTCAGCAGAATTACAGCAGTCTGGCAGAAAAGTATCTGTTTGTAGCTTTTGCAAAAGTCGTGAGTTCCTATAAATTGCAACATCATGATCCCTCCCTGAGCAGCAGTGCTCATGTCAGTGAAATGTCCCCAGCTACCCACAGCACATCCACAGCCAGGGAAAAGCACATTTTCCTGAGTGTCTTCTCAGAGCAGGATGCCTTGAGGGCAGTAATGTCACTGGTGTAGAGATATGTTGTCCCCAACAGTCAGCAGAGCCCTTTTAGCTGTACCAACTTGCTATTTTCTGCAAGCTGTTTTCTGCAAGTTATATTATTCTTTCCAAGAATCAGAAACATGCAGCAGGACCCACTTAATGGTCTCCACCAGCGAATGATAACCATTCCCACAAGGGATGTTCTTATAGCAAACCCACCTTCTGCCACCCGAGAGCAAAGCGGTCAGGCAGCGCTGCTTATCAGTGATGCCGGCTGGTGGTCGGCAGGCATCTAGATAAGAACAGCTTAAGGAAAAAGTGTTACAGTTCTTCTCAATTAAGACCTTCCCCACAGGAGATCGCAAGGCTTTCCCCATGGGTGCTGTGCTGGGAGTAGTTCCCGGTGTCCATCGTAGCCCTGAGCAGGCTGCTTGACACCATCATTGTTCAGAATAAATTTTGTGTAAGGTGCTGGCCCTGATGGTGCTAGTGCCTTCAGTAGTGATTCATCTACAGCAGTGTTTTTCTATTCTTACTTGTTTGCAGGCCACCCAAAAATGTCCCAGCATAGCTGTGGGTCTCTCTATGATGAATTCCAGCCTGCTGACAAATGTGCTGGATTTTGTTACCTCCTATGACCTCTCAGAGCAGACCAGGGACAGTCCAGCTTCTATATACCACCTGCTGAAAACTCCTGTCCTTAAACTCCAGCAGCTTTTGTATCTAGACTACTTTAGCTATATCATTCTTGGTGATTTGTGGTGTTGTGTGCTATTTAACCATATATGGGAGACAGAGTAGCTGTACGGTGACAAGGCACTTCTATGTGGATACTCCTGACACTGAGGGGTTCGAACTAGTGGTTTTTTGTACAAAATTCAAGCTCCCAAGAGGCAGACCTTCCTGGCACAGGAACAATAATTAGTCTCAATCCAAGCGATCTGCTCATGTCTGTAAACATGTACAAGGTGCAGCCTGCTTTCCTATGTACACCTGCAACTCGGGATGCCAAAGTGAACATGTGGTTCCTAACAGAAAAAAAGTCCTTAAATTTCCACGTTATCTGCACAAAGGGCTTTATTTAATTGCTGGAGATTTGAGTGAGTTCAGACTCTTGGGTTTTGGTTAATTCTCTGGAACAGCACTGGGGTTTGTCTTTATTTTTGTTTCCTGTGTCAGAGCTGCAAAGCAGATGGATTTCAAACTATAGAAATTCTTCATGGTAGATGTTTAATAAAAATCCCTGACTAAGACATGATTCTTACTAAAGAAGAAAAAAAACTTGCTGAACATTTATTTTTCCAGTTGTGGGAGAAAAGTAAGGAAAGAGGATTGTTTTGCTTGAAGTATGTTTTAAATTCCACATTGCCATCTGGTATCAGTGCACACACCAAAGTTGATGTGTTTGTGCTGATCCAACGTAAATTGATGACTTCTGAGAATTACAGAGCCTTTGCCTCTTTAAAAAAATGCCTACTTTGGTGTATTCAACCCAAAGTAGCAATCTGCAGGGCCTGGGCTAGAAGAGAGGGAAAAGTAAAAAGAGGAAATGGCTCTTTCGGGGAATGAGCTGTGAAGCTGAACAAGAGACAAGCTTTAGCATTTCCTTCCCGTGGGATTCTCAGATGGCTGAAGAGCATGAGCCAGTGCATGGAGCCGGGGGAGAGGAGAGCCAGGTGGATGTCTCCCTCCCACAGGTGCTGGAGGCCCTGCTTTGTAGGAGAACTGATAACCAGGCAGGCAGGGCAAGGAGCTGGAGACGTTTCACAGGGCCATGACTCATGGCAGCCCGAGGAGGCTGAATCATGATAGCTGAGCTTCATGGCCACAGCTCTGAACTGTGGCCTAGAAAACAGAGTGAAGGAAGATGCGGAGCAGCCGTGGGCACCACTACATGGGTGTGAGCTGGTGCTGCTCCCCAAGGACTCCTGGGGTGCTCCTGCCACAGGACAAGTGCAGCGCTGAGGCTCCAGTTCTGCACCACCAGTAACTGGGCATTTTTGAGAAACCACAGCAGATTTCTTTAAACTTGTCAATCTGTTTGTGATGGTGTGTTGTGTACATACAAGCACAGACAATTTGTGAGACTATAAAGCTGATGCCCAGATGGACACTTTTCTCCTGCAGATCTGTCTCTTTCTCTCTGCCCGGGGTTATCGGTCAATGTGAAATTTTCTCCATTGGCTGCTGATTTTTTTCTAGCTTAGCAGCCAAAAGCTCTATAATAACATGAGAAATTTGGACTACACAATGCCATAGCATGCTGTTATAAGGGAGATCACCTTAAAGAACTCTGCAATGTGGTGTAGATTGTATTTTGCCACTTAAAGGAAAGTGCTGTTGCTGTGTAACACAATGGTAGGGAGAAGACAGGGGAGATACAAATAGACTTTGCTCACATTGCCTGCGTGACCCAGGTCAGAGCCCACACACATAGTAATGAAACAGTTCTTTCTATGTTTTTAGCTTCAAAGCACTTTGTCCATCCAGATCAAACCAGATTCCAGCATGGAGAGTCACAAGGTCAGCCCCACTTGTACTGTGGATCTGCACATCCTTAGAGATAGATGGGCTTGTAATGAAAACTTTGGCTGTGACTAGGGTTTTTTTCTTCACGTTGTTTCTATTACTGTCATGACACTCTGATATCTTGAGCTAACCATTCAGAAAGCCAGGGTGAGACATTTCTTCTCTAGTGTTTCCCTGAAGAATCTCATTGTGTTTGGTGGTCTGAAGCCAGTTCTTTATGCTTCTGCATATTAGTCCATGCAAATACTGAACAATCACAGAATACAAGATGTGTGAGCCAAACCCACCAGCTTTTTTAACCATACAGCTCAAAGAAAACAGTTGCTGACTGTCTTTTTTGTCTTTCATCAGTCCTGTACCTGGAAGGATCTGTCCTTGTATTTGAGGATGTCTTCAAACTGGTTGCCTTCTACTGCGTCAGCAGGTGAGTTGGATTCATCACTTCCACGGAGGAGTTGCTTCACTCTCCTCTCTGGACTGCCTTTCCCCAGCATACAGTCACAGCACAGGCCCAGCTGTTCCCTTTGGTTTCCTCTAACCTGCCAGATCAGGAGGTATTTCGGATGCTACTATCTACAATGGGGCCAGATCACCCTGTTTCTAGCCTGGCACACCATAACCACAACTGTCCCTGAAGCTGGAAGCTTTGTCTGAGGAAGGCACATACGGCTGCACCCACAAAGGACTGAGGCACAGGACTGGGGCTGGCAGGGCAGGGAGGAAGAAGGTTGCCGGATTAAGCATCTCTTATTAAAAGCAGCTTTAAGCATCCACACACAACTGGCAGCTAATTAGCAAACCTGCTAGCGGACTGTTGCCTGCGGGAGACTCAGAGCACTTAGTCACCTATGAGGAATCTGTCAAGAAGAGTAGTCCTGAAACAACTTCTGTTCTTTAGCCAAAATTTAAAAATAAAGTGATAAAGAACAGACCTTGGTTGTTTGCTCAGCACAGAAATACCAAACATAGTAGGCACAGAGATGGGAAAGACCTGTAAGGTCATTTTCATTAGAGTAAGGTTTGATCAGCAGCTGATGAGTCCCTCTGTGTAATTAAACCTGTGTGTCTGCAATCTCCTCTAATCTGTGCACTTGTGCTGAGCACACTACAGTGATACCCCCACAACCTTCTCACACCATTGCTGCTGCAGCAGGCCTGGTTTTGAGTTGGATGTGAACTTTGGACCTTGCTTACATAAACTTAGATGACTCTGAAAGTAGTTATTTCCATTTAAGAGAGGAAAGCAGATTCAGGGTATGTTTACAAGGCAGTCGTGTTAGTGACTTGGTTAGGTCACATAGTAGGAAAAGTCTATCTATGGTATGGTACAGCATGCTGCAGCTTGCCCAGCCAGCAATATTGGCACTATTTTGGGGGCTGCTTCTGCAGCCAGCTGAGTTCAACGCTGCTGGGCCAAAACTCCTGCCCACACGCAAGGGACCGTGCTGTCTCACCCCATCAATGAAAACACTTTTAGTCATCTAGATGTGTATAGACTCTATAGAATGGGCATAAATTAATCCCTGGCTGCCTATAAAGATTTCTGTCCTATCAAAGGAGCAAAGAAGAGCCCAAACGTGGACAAGAATTGGGCACTTCCAGTCAAATGGGTGGTGGAAGGAAAATCTGCTTGCTTCTGCTTTCCTGCAAAAAGGATCTTGGCTTAAAAAAAAGAGTCTCAGAAAGACAGAAAAGCTTTTCTGTTAGTTCCTGTTATAGATGTTGCTTCTGAATGTCAAGTGCACATTCAGATGGTTCATATGATTTCTCAGGTGGCTGTCAAAAGACAAGGTAAATGGGGAATAATTTTCTGAAAGGAGCAGGTAATAAAAAGGCTCCTTAGGCACTGACCTACCATTTGCTGGAAGCTTGTAGGAGCTGTCCGTGATGGTGAGTGGAGAGGCCTGTTCTTAGGGCTGTAGTAAATAGTCATCTACAAATAGCTGGAAACAGCTTATCAGGGCTGACAGGCTCTTCTCAAAAGAAAGTTTGGCCTGGCTAGATTAGCTTAGATCACAAAAATAACACCAGTAGGTAACAGGTGACTTGGTGGTTTGTCTGTAAGCTCCTGCCCCACGAATAAAACCAGATTTTTTTTTTTCTCTTAGGGTAATGTCTTAGTGTTTCCTGATTTTAAGATGTGGTTTTTTTACCAAAAAAAAAAAAAGAAGGGAACTGCTTATGCATATAACAATAACAAACAAAGAAAGCAGAAGATCCATGGACCCTCTTCCTCTTTTAAACCTGATATCTGCCATGAAAAAAAAAACCCTCTGGGATCACGTCGGTTTATGTCAGACAATATGACAACAGAGAGCTCAGTGCTGCTCAGAGAACCCATGGAGTACAGAGTGCATCAGTAAGATATGTATCTGTTAATAAGGGCAAAAATAGTCCCCTGGCGTTCATCTGTCAGCAGATCAGTCCTCCCCAGGTCTGCAGTCACATGCATTTTTGGGCTGTGCATTTGTGCAGCTGAGAACACCTACTTATAATGGCAGCTCTTTCTAAAATCATTTCCTGCAGCTTGCAGAACATTTTGTCAAACTTTATAATGCTTAAAATGACCCTGTGCTGTTCCCTGCTACCTTTTAAAGACTATTGTTACTGGCTTTTCTAGTCCCTGTTAGAACACGAATCAAGGTAGGAACAGGTTTAGCCAATTGTCGTTGGCCAAGAAGCAAACCTGAACAGTTTGCCACCAGCCCAAGAGCTCCATTAAATTATTTAAGACTCAGGGTGTGTTTCAGCGAAACCCACTTACACTGATTTTTAAAAGAGGAAGCAGGGTGGGGAGAGAGGGATAAAGAGAAAGAAAAAGGACTGCAAATCCCCTCCACACCAAAAAGAATGGCTTTTCTAATGACAATAATTACCATTTGCAACACCTCCCTTTTCATGGGAAGGTGGTTCAACCCTTGTGGCCCGCCTTGTGAGAGGCGTTCCTGCTGTTTTGGGAGGAGGAAGCCAAGGTGCCGTGATTAAGCCCACGGCATAGCATGAAGCGTCGCAACAGGAACTGGTGATCTCTTGTGAAACCAGAACTACCCAGGCTGGCACAATGTCCACGATGACTTACTGGCCGTGAGATCTTCCTTTGACAACATCCAGGACTTTGCAGAACAGGGCTGAAATCGTGAGCCAATTCAATCATTAAAACCCACAGTAAAATCTGGAGTTCCCAACAATTGCATGGTTTGTTCTTTTGCTGGTTTTTCACTGTGTTTCTTTTTACAGGGATTTGCTGCCCTTCACTCTGAAGCTGCCACAAGCAATATTAGAAGCCAGTAGCTTTCAAGACCTTGAAATTATCTCTAGTCTGGGGATAGGTAAGTCCCTCAAAGCAGCCAGGGTTTCACTCAGACTTGTAAGAACCATGGTGCCTTGCACAGATACAACGCAACTGGTAGATAGATGAACTATTGTCTTCAGAATAGTTGAGGAGGTCTGAATGCAAGAGAGAAGATGTTTATGATCTTTATGTTTATAGAAGCACACTGCAAAAAAAGGCCACTTGCCTCTTTGGACATAAACCTCCACTTGGACTTTTGTGCAGGGCAGGGCCCTACAGTCTCACTGTATAAGCTGGGGCTTTCAAGAGCTGAAGCAGAGCACAGCCTTTCAGGATAGCTTACACACACTGGAAATAGCTGGCATCTGAGGTGTATGAAAAGAGGAAAACACCTTTGCAATTTCTCCTTCAGATATGTGGGGGCAATGCTGATAGAAGTGTGACATTTTTGAATTTTCGTGTTTCTGCTTCCTCTTGCAAGATTTCTAGTTGGTAAAGAAATGTATGGTGTTCCAGCATGTTCTTTCACCTCACACCAATCAGATACAAAAAGGAATGTTATTTTTAGTGACAGCATCAAACAAACGAATTTTAGATCAGATTACAGATTTGGGAAGTGCAGTTCTGTTAACTAAAGGACGTCTCCTTCCTATTCCTTCCCACTAAACACACTCCAATTGAGACAGCTATTACAGTTGGCAACTGCCTGTCGTGCTACTTTGCTGTTCAGTTTTCCCTCAGCTGTTGAAACCAGCCAAGCAATGCTGAAAGCTGAAGAGTGAGCTCACCTAGAGGTACTCAATAAAGCACGCTGGGGCTTTGGCGATCTATTTTTGGATCTTCTGCATTATACCTCCCAGAAGGCATGGGCAAGCCCCACTGGTTTCAGTTCAGGCAGCTTTGTTGAATTTGACCAGCAGATTTGCCTCTAACACTTTCAGCATCTTCTATTTTGACTATGTTCCAATTTGTCAAAGCATCCTTGAGTATGAGTGGCCAGGCAGCACTTATTGCTTAAATAAAGCTCCTTTGCAACTTGAGATAACAAATTGTAAACTTATTATTAATTTTATTATAAAAAGTGCAAACATTTGGATTAAAGCGTAAGTACTGTATCATGATTCTCTGACCTTCTGTCTAATTTGAGCCAGTAGAGGAGATCCTGACTCAAGCAATGGTCTCCAGCAGCTTCTGAAATGAAGGATTAACTAAAGCACAAGCACCAAAGCAATGTTGGTTGTAGTCATCTTCCTTTTCTCCTGTACACTGGTGATCATAAAAGTGATGATGCTTGCAGGTTTGCTTGCCGCAGTACATTGTATGCCAGGAAAGTTTCTGACAACAGAAAAAAACCCTGCTGTTGTGTAAAGATTTCCTGGGAAATTATGCTAGCTTCTTGGAGTGCCATGCTGTCTCAGTAAAGTCAAATAGGCTGAAGCAATGAGTTATGCTGCTAACTGCTTCCTGGAAAAAAATTTAAGGATACAAATGGGTACACAAACAGCAAATGCTGCCTGGAGTGTCACTCCCAAAGGAAAGGTAGCATTGTTTGAAATTCTAGTATGTTGGGTTTTATTTCTTTCAAAGTGATATATTTTTTGAGAGGGCAGAAGGGGGATGTCTACCTGCAAGCTGGATTGTCCCACAGAGGATCTGGCTGTTATGCATACTGTTAAAGAGGATGTACTGCAGGCCCTCTAGTCCTGACCTCACTGGTACAGAAGGCATTTTAGCAGGAGAATTAGCATGACTGCACTGCACAAAGAGCACATACCATCGTAGACATGCCCATGTCTCAAAGAACTGCGTAATTACCCCCTGCAGAGTGTAGCTAAGGGAAGAGCCAGAACTGCAACGGGAGGTGATCAAACCACCTTTCCTGCTGTATGAGACAGTGTGGCTAGGCTGGGAAACACCCTCTCTGATGCAGCTGTGTAAGCCTTGGTAAGACCTTGGTAAGACTCACCTGGTCCTTCACAGCCTGGGTGGAGCACTGCATTTTCATCCCAGTGTCTTATTTTGACCACTACTGAGAAATGAAAAACAACTTCCCTTTTGTGGATTGGTTTACTCACCATTTCCTCAGCCCATGAGACTCCACAGCATTATATTCTGACTTAACCAAGCAACTTCCACGGTCCTGCATTTGCTGATAGCCAGTAGAGTTGGAGCATTTAAAGGAAATTGTAGTCCGGACAGTCTCAGACCTGAGGCAGCTGGGAACGTGACGCTGTTATATGTAGTTGCATCTGCACGTCTATTCCTGAATTCCATCGTCAAGAGTGCTGCTGTTCCTGGCAGCACTTTTATTTTAAGCTTCTCTGTTCTCCTCCCTCTCATGGTAGGAAATCAGAGAATGAAACTTTCTAACCTAAGAAAACATGCTGACATGCCTCTGAAGTCGAATTAGCTGTGGACAGTAGCCTAGTCTGCGAGAGGCTAAACGGGCAATTTTAGCCTGATGGGAATGGACAGACTTTTAGTTCACCAGTGCGTAGCTTGCTCTGGGGCTGTTACCCAAATGCGTGGTGAGAGGGAGCGAGGGGCAGCAAGGAGTCAGCCTGCCCGTCCCGCCATGTCCTGCCCTGCCCGCAGCACCTGCACCTGCAGCAGGGAAGGGGACAGTCCCTGTCCCTGGGGCAGCCGGCTGCGCCCCAGGGGACCACATGGCTGGCAGAAGGCTCAGGGCACCGAGGGGGAAAGGCAGAGCCCTACTGAGGACAGGTCATGGCAGTGGCAGAAAGAAGATGGCTTTGCCAGCAATGGCGTGGAGCTGGCTGTGAGCGGGAGGCCGTGAAAAGTCACGGCTGCACCAGGGAGCAGAAGAGGAAGAAGTGGCCTGTCTTTGGGGACGCAGCAGGCAAGGGAGAGATTTTATCTGAATGTGTTTCACCCTTGAGTTCTGCGTTGGCTTTAGCTGAAGAGTTTCTTTGCTCTGTTTCAAATTCTGCTATGACCTTTCTAACTAGAAGCCCCTTTGAGTTTTTCTGAGGTGCTGGTTTTTAGGAAGAGGCACAGGCAGACCCTGCCAAAGATTTGGCCAGCTCAGCCCTGCGCCTCCTTCTCTGTGATGAGCTGGGGGCTACGCTGGTGCAGCCAACAGGAGAACAGGGCCCTGGCAAGGCACAGCTGAAGGCACCATCCTTCCATGTGCTTAGCACTGAGGGTCGTCCCACACATGTGCAGCCCCATCCATTCCCTCTTGGGCCTGGCACATGATGTTTTTGCAGTGAGACAGGCCTGACACCAAGCACAGGGCAGGGTTCAGGCGCTGTATGGCAGTCCTGTTCGCGTCCCCTGTAAGTCCACCCAGAAGAGTGTGCCATCAGTGTCAGCTCTGTATCCAGGGGCCAAGCACGCTGAAAGAGTTACTTAGTTATCTGCATCTTTGTGTTTCTAGGATTTCCCATCTTCCCCTTGTTCCTAAATCTGTGGGCATCTATAGAATCCTCACCTAGTGAATACCCTGAGAGGTTTATACCCTCTTCCTTGGTCAGAACACATGGGGTTTGCAGGATCCTGTTTCCTGATGCTTCCAGTAGTGGACCCTGGATTAGCAGTTCTAAGAGTGATTAAAAGCAATCAGACTGGCAAGGCAAGCAGGTTTGAAAACTCACCTCTGGGGTAAGGGAAAAAAGTCAAATGTGATACTGAACTTATTCAAAAGATGTATGACTGCTTTGTAATTTTTTTAAACAAGTTAGTCAAAGAAAAATTCTAGTAAGAGGTTTGTGACACACAGAAATGACTACTTGCGTCTGAAACACCATCTTCCTTTTCCAGTCACAGCTGATTCCCCTGAAGTACTTAGCTATTCTTTAGTCCTTCAGTATACAACCTGCCTGTGTACACAGTCTTTGGCACCATCTTTCCTCTCTTACACCTGCAGGCAGGCAGTCTCAAGGCAAGGTGCAAAACAGAGAGTAGGCATGGCTATGGAAAATCATCATCCAGAGCTATAGACATTAATGGTAAATTTAATCTGTGGAAGGTATTTAAAATCACATGTTTCCAGACTGGTTGTACTGGAAAGCAGGATCAGACTTCGGTGTAGAACAAACTGCCACATGAGCTTGCTGCATAGTAGGGTCATCTTCATCTGATGTCTCTTGCACTCCTGGTGCACATTGGATCCAGGCTGTATATCTCAGTCCTACACCTTCCCATGGTCAGCAAAAGGGAGACAGCACTTGCCTGGGATCTTCACACCCTCACCTCAGGTATCCACAGCTATTTACATTTGGAGGGCAGTGGTCACTGAACATAGCCCCTTTTCATAATCGTTCATATTTGTTACTTGTACCTTCCTGCTCACACTGCATAGGCTGCACAGCATTAACAGTTTTCACTAGATGAGTGTCCTAAAATTGGCAAGAAAGAGGTTTCTGGTGAAGCTTCTGAGCTTCTCCCCTGGCTTGAAGCATCTCATACACATACAACAGGCAACTCTTTCTTCACACTGTTTTGTTCAGAGGTGTGAAAACTTGTGTACCATTTCTTTTAACAAAAAGTAGGACTTCTACATACTGATAGCTGCTAAAATTCTCTCAGAGCCTTTTTTCATTCTTCGTTTATTTCTTTCTTTGTTTATTTTGGACAGATTTCTGGGATTCCTCCTTAAACCACAGAAGAAGAGAGGAGTTATCCCACCCTGCAAAAGACACTGCTTTCATTACTGCCCAGGCAGACAGTTTAAGATCTACCCAATGTTTTGCAAGTAGCACAAACCACTGCTCATGTGAAATTGAGTTGTCAATAGGAAATGACAGGCTGTGGTTCGTGAATCCTATTTTTATAGAAGAGTGCAGTAATCCTTTTCCTCCAGATGTACCTCCTCCTAAAAGCTATGCTGTGAGCACCAATCTGTCCCCTGCCACCATGATCACTGAAAGGAAGTCTCCCCGCCGTCCCCCTCCACCTCCACCTTCTCACGCTCCTGTTCAGAAATCTTCTCTGAAGCTCCTGCAAGGTCCCATGACTGCCTGTGAAGAAAATGAGCTGTTTCTTCAGCCACTAGGAAAGAGCATCAAGGAAATGAAAATTGAGGGTGGTGACAACAAAGAAGAAGAAGGGAAGCAGAGCTGCTCAGTCAACGAGCCCTCGGCAGTGAGCCCCAAGAAGGGCTCCCAGCCCTCTGTTCCTCCACGGAGGCGGTTGTGTGAGAGGACCTTGGAAGAGAGCTGTGCGGGTAAGCCTGGAAGTTGTGAAACGCTGAAAGGGGAACGGACAGAAGAAAAACAAGACACAAGTACAGAGAGCAGAGATAAAAGATCGCTGTGCAAAAAGGCTGCAGAAATGCCTGGGGAGGTTCCTGAAAGAGCTGTATCACAGTTTCAGGAGACAAAGCCTGAACCTGTGGAGAAGAAGGAGGACATGCCTGAGATACAAAGCAATGCCATTGAGAAAGGAAAGACACCTCCTATCCCACCACCGAGAAGGAAGAGGCTTTCCCAGGTACCGAGGATTTCCAGCTCCTGCCAGTCAATGCAAAGAACAGTGGCAGAGATGGCCACAGCCACGGAACAGGCTCTGGGCAAAAGCAGCTCAGCCACAGTGGCAGGTGATGCCACTTGCACACGCACCAAGACTGAACCGGGACATAGCTGCAAATCTGCCAGCTCAGCTGAACTGAAAGGTTCACACTCCTCCTTGGAGGGCCCAGGAGGCAGCGTCGTGGCTCAGGCATCAGCGTCTGAGCCAGACTCCTACTCCACCAGCAGCACAGAGGATGACCTGGAGATGCTGAGTAGTTCATCTGGTAAAAAGACACGCTCCATGATCTTGAATAAGGCCAAGAACAGGCTGTCCTTTGTGAGCCTGTCCAATGTCTTCACAGTCTTTTTGTCTAGTGACAGGAAGCTGCAAAAGAAGATAGTGGAGTTGGCACAGGACAAGGATTCGTACTTTGGCAACCTGGTGCGGGACTACAGAGTGTACAGTTTAGAGATGATGGCAAAGCAGAGCTCCAGCACAGAGATGCTACAAGAAATCCGGATGATGATGACGCAGCTGAAGAGTTACTTAGTGCAGAGCACCGAGTTGAAATCTCTGATAGACCCAACCTCCTACACCGAGGAACAGTTAGGTAAGCGACTCTGCTTTACTCATCCTTGGGCAGTATTTGGAAAGGTGAGGAGGGAGACAGGATCATGCAGACACAGGTTCTGCTTTACAGAATTATAAACCGTCTCCTAAAAGCTGAGGGGTGCAAATTGAAGTCTACTCTGTGGTTGCCAGCACTTGGAGGAGCAGCTCTAAAAACAGTGAGACCAATGGAGGGGAAAATCCCATTATGAATGTTTTAAAGGGAAGAGTTTAAGTAGAAGAGATGTGTGTTTGAGTGTGAGAGACATCTATGTATGTATATCTGCATATGCGTATGCACGCATACAAATATGAGTGTGTGTGTACATATGTAGACATAGGCATCCACACAGAGCTGTGTTCACTGGAAACACAAAAGGGCCAACCTCTCCTTGCACAGCTGGGCTCCCCATGGCCTTCCACGTCCACTGTCCACTGCCCCACAGTCTGCAGTGAGGATGCAGAACTCCCTGCATGTGGCAGCCAGATCAGAGGTCAGTCACTGTCTTACAAGGAGGGACAAGACTACAGTGATTTTGAGTGGCAGGGTGAAGGATTCACTTGATCACGCTCTGTGCTCCTCAGAGCTTGGAGACGTGGAAGAGCTGCCTGCTGTAAGACCACTGGCTCCAAAATGCAGCAATCACCTCTCTTTGCCACAAACACAGTTTGTCTTTAGGGGAAGAAAAATAGTATTTTTGGATGTTTAAAGGTGTTTTGTTGCTTCTCGATCAATATTCTGTGAAGGACTAATGTGCTACTTCCCTCCTCGCTAAGAAATGGACTGGCCTGTTTAATGTACATTCATGAGGGAATGTATAAAGAGCTGTAGGATTTTTTATCCCAGTCAAAGCCGTACAGTCAAAAAAAAGCATGCAGGCATGCACTCACATGCTCTTTTGACTGTTTCTTGAGGACCTGAGAACCAATGCAGAGCTATTTATGAGATCTCTAAGTTGGCTTAAAGCAAGCTGGGAGCTGGAAGACCCCCAAAACAGAACATGGCCACCCATAGAAATGACCAGGGATTCCAGGAGATCCTGCAACTCCATTATTAGGTGGGACCCAGCTACGTGATGAGCCAGGACCCAGAGGCACTCAGCTGCCAGTCTCAGCAGTCCCTGCTGATTTCTTTCTCACCCACAGCAAAGTTTTCACATGATCTTACATTCTCCCCAGCAGAGCAGACCTGCTGCCAGCCCCTTGCCATAGCTAGGAGAGGGGAGCTACAGTTTCCTTCCTCATGCACCTCATGTAATACCTGCCATTTTTGTCCAAATAACCCCTTTCTTTAAGGCAGAGGGTGTGTCAGCACATAGAAGTCTGTCTTGAATCTTGATTAGGGAAGGTGGAGAGGCAGAAAGAAGAAGTGCCCTTGTTCTGCTCCGTAGAGCTGTGTGTGTGCAAGGATCCCCACACCTTCACACAGACATGCCTGGTTAGATCTAGTTCTGTTCACCGGCAGTTCCTTAACAGGACGATATGGCCCAGCCAGCCTAGGGAGGAATGTCTTCCCTTGTGGAGGACAGGGATTCCCACCGTGGAAGATTTACCATTTGAATTTGTCCTGCTTCAGGCTGACTGATTCTCTGGATTCTTTAAAATAGTTGCATTTTCTATATGTAAACATTTCTGCCCTCTAATTCATTCCTCACTGACTGAATGGATGAACTCTTGCAGGTGACTTTTTTGCCTCCATGCAGGGGTGACAAGAGGATCCCTTGCAGTCCCTCTGGCTCTGCCTCTGGTTTCTTGGAGTCAGATAACAGACTTTCTCACAGTCTCACATGCTTCCTTGTGCCTCCTGCTAAATATTAAGCAAATGCTCAACTGACACAGAGACTATTTCCTCATCCATAGGTGGCGTAAGAGGTGACTTAAGTGTTGGTAAGTTAGAGTCACTCGTGCAGTAAGGGAGCGAAACTTCTGACCAAATGTTGGTGTTTGCCTCTGAGCTGGTAGCTACAGCCCCTTTTCAATCAGAACAGGGATGAACAGTGCACTTTGAGGATGCAAATGATTTCGTCCCAAAGTGAATTATCTCAGACAGGTCAGAGGGAGATGTCAGAGGGGACATGAGATGAATCCCACCTGGGCATCTGTAAGGGCAAGGCTGTGAAAAGAAGAACAATTAGGTGAGGTTCCTCATCTCTTCCCAGAGCTAGGCAAAGACAGCAGGCTCTGCTGGTAGCAAGAGCTCTCCTACGACTCCAGTGGCAGAGACCGTGCGTTGACGTTCATCTCAAGCCTATCCAGGACTTCTGAAGGGCGTTGGCAATGAAAAGTTTACTTTCTAGGATGTAATTTCTGTTCCCTGCTCACAGTAGTGCATGAATAACCAACCACATGCTTCTGTAGGAGTTTTACGTGCACCTGTCCTACTGTGTTGATTGTTTATCATGGAGTTTTGTTTTCTCCCTTCTTTATGCAGAAGTGATTGCTGAGACGGCTTTGTACAAATGTGTACTGAAACCTTTAAAAGAAGCCATTGATTCTTACTTAAAAGAAATCCACAACAAAGACGGATCTTTACAGCAGCTAAAAGAGAACCAACTTGTGATACAAAACACGACTACCACTGACCTAGGCATCACAACCAGTGTACCTGAAACCGTTGTACTGGAAAAGATCCTTCACAAGTTCACAACCATGCACAAGGCCTACTCCCCAGAAAAGAAGATTGCCATCTTGCTGAAGTCCTGCAAACTCATCTATGACTCCATGGCTCAGGGAAACCCAGGTACAGCACTCCTACTGAAATGGAATCCCTCACTGGTCCTTCTCCATGTATCAAAGGAACAGGATTTATGATACAGTTGATGTGGTAATATTCAGATCAGAGTTAACAGTGATGGTTGATGTGTTTAGTATCAGCTCTCCACAGGATGTGTTCAGAATGGGCTGATTAGTGACTGTGAAGTTCTCTGCACTAATAACAGGTATAAGATGTCACCTGGTTAACTTTAAGCTCCATAATTCCAAAAAACAGATGTCTGTGAGTGTGTGTTTTATGGGTAATGTCCTTTTTGCACAGGTCTTCACATAGGTCTCCATGAATCCTCAGAGCTCTGTCCAAGCTTATAGCAGCTTAATGGTAGATTCTAGAAGTAGGTCTTTGGGAAAAGTCTCTTGATTTGGCAAAGTTTTGTCTAAATCGAGAAGGGGACGGAGAGTGCTAGTACTGTTTGTTACTATTTCCTGACGGTCCAGTGAATTCCAAAAGCCACTACTATACTTCTTCAGTGTGAGGAAGTATGTGCTCCGACTACAAATATAACTTGGGCCTTAGGCCAACCACTAAATGCACATGACGAGCCCTTGGCCTGCAGACAGGATGCATTTTTGCAGATAGACCAGGAAGCCCCTTCCTCCAGGAATCTGCCTTACCAGTTTAAGAGCTTGCTTTGTATACCGGTGAGCTGATGACCAGCCATGCATAAATTTGAAGAGAAGCCAGATTTTAATTTGCAACAAGAACTCACAATCTCCAAAGGTGCTTTTAGCTGTTCTGCCTTATTTTGTACTGACAACAGCCTCGGAGCACTCATACAGGAATTGCTGTGTCCCCTACTCAGCCTCCCCTCAGGGTCATCCCTTGGACAGCGTGCAGCAAGGTTCAATGACCAAGCTAGACACATTAGCAGCAGAGCAAGCAGCCACCCCAGGGCTGAGCCTAAGCTGCAGGGTGGGTAGGACCTCTGACTGTCTTCAAGTGTTATAAGAAGATTTGAACACATGTAGGGGAATTTACTGTAACTTTGTTAAAACAGTTGTGCTGAGTTTGAGAGTGAATTTGGTACAGATCAAAGACTCGCATGCCTCGTTAAAAACCACATAGGAGACACGGTCTCCTTCCAATGCTGGTGGTACATTTCATATCTGTCACACCTCAGTTAGCTCAGGCCTGGAATTTCTCTGTTGCGGGAAATGCCATTGTGTCTTTTTATATAACAGAAATTAGAGGTCAGGGAAATAATTCAAAAAACCCTACAAGTTTTAAAAGATTGACATTCATGAAATCAGAGGATTTCATTGTGGTTTGCTATGCCAAGCAAAACGCTTCATTTCAGCCATCTCAGCTGTTTTCTCGTGTTGAGTACTACTGTGAGCCGGGCGTAGGTTGGAAGCTGACTTCACCCCCGTGCGTCCAGTTCCCTCTCCAGTATATATGATCAGTGATGCGTATCTGGGGTCAGAAGGAAACTGGCCTGGCATTGAGGAAATGTACCCCAGAGAATTCAGACCAGAGAAAGAGGTTAAGGGAAGGAGAATGCTATAGTCTAACTCCCAGAAGACAGTGGAGTCGGAGAGAAACTGAGTGAAATGTCTTGTAGACCCACCTCGAAGTGAAATGTGTGAAACCTCTTCAACAGAATGAACTGACGCCAGATCACTTGATTTTCCACCTGGCAAAGACAAACGTTCAACAAACTGAAATATTTTTCTGACAGGGAATTCCCAGCTGGTGGTAGGCAGAAAAGCAAGACGCGGGCTGCTCAGACCAGACTTCACGGGGTAGGAATTCTCCTCCTGCTCTCTGCCTGCCTGGAGAGCCGCTGCCCAGGGCCCCTGCTGCTTTCGGCCAGCCCCGAGGCAGCGCGGTGCTCTTCACACAGGAAGAGCAGAGGCCATGCTCGACTTCCTGTGCAATAGTCTGTTCTTCTTTTAGCTCCTTTCACTCACTGCTGAATGTGAGAGTTTCTTCCTCTTCCAAGATCAGAGCAGGTGGAAAGCAAAACTAATCATTCCCTCTGCTGAAGGACCAAAATCAGTTTCCCTCTGTCAGAAAGGTTACCTGTTAACATGATAACTACTTGTGTTGTCTCGTTTAACTTGTAATTTGGCAACTCAGGCCAGGTCTTTATTGACTTTAGGCTGACCATGGGATGAGCTGACCTGAGAATATGGTTTCTTGTCTTAAAGTGCAAATACCACCAAATCAAGCACCATTTTTTTCAGATCCATATGAAAACACATTATTTTTTAACATTTTGAGACCTATGTATAGCAGTCCAGGTTAGGCCAGGGTGTTCCAAGAGGTATCAGGTTTTCTTTAAAACAAGGGATAGGCATGCTCAGGAACATCTGTGCCTGTGTTAGTGCCCATCTGCCTGTGTTAGTGCCCATCTACGCATGGCTGAAGGAGTCATGAAACTTTGAAGTCAGCCTATACTGACTCCATGCATATCAGGATCTTTTTGAGAAAGGGGAGTTCTCTGCTTTAATTGCAATTCATACTACATGACAAATCTACCTGAAAAATTGGCTATGATTGAACCTCCTGATACTTAGACTATGAACTGAACGGGTCAGATCCTCAGCTGGTTTAAACTAACATTTGTCCCTCAAGTCGAAGGCAATCAACTTGTCGATCTGATTCATCACAAGGAATCAGGATAGCAAATTCAGAGTTTTTGTCAATACACCTTTTTCCCAACAGACCTCTGAGTACCACTGCAAGATATAGATCTGTGTTGAAATAGGACTCATCTACAGCTACATCTAGCTGTAGGTGGCCACAGGTGGGCATCATGTCTAGCTTCTCATTATAGACACAGGGACTTAGTCGATGGAGTTCAGTTGATTCATCTGGCAAGATGTAGGTGTCTGTTGTAGGGTGAGATGACTCATGACAAACTCCACTGATTATATTGATTAGTTCATCACTGGGTATAAAAGGAGTTTAGGGGTACTGGGTCAGATGTTCACATGTACAGTGTAGGCAGTGGTATTAGTAAATGAATAGTCCTCAAAGGGACAACTATGATAGCATTGCAGTGTCTCACTGAACTTTTCCACATCGTGTGCAAACTTAAATAACAGCAACATATGCCTCCAAGAATGTAATCTATAACCTAAAAATATGTAACCTGCCTGCTAAAAATACTAGGAGTAGTTAGTAAGAATAATATGCATTAAAGGAATAGAAAAAGAAGAGTTTGGAAACCCAACTCAGACCCCACAAACTGGCTGGCATTTTTTGTGGCATTTTTTTATCTACGCACTAGAAAAAGTAAGAGGCAGGACTCACAGGGATCTGTAAGCTCCCAACTCTTGGACTGCTCCTACATTTGGAAAGCGTGCCCCAATACCCACAGGAAGAGTTGGGCACATAGCTGATTTATATAGAAGCACTGCAATCTTATATAGAAAAAACTGCTCATTATTTATATTTCAGAAATACCTTTACTCAGACAAAATGTCAAAGGCATATTGTGTGGTAGGAGTACAACGAGAATCTCTGCTTTTCACTCTGTCAAAAACACATGACAGTTGTGGAGTGATAAACAAGATGCAAATCTGCAATATGTGCAGTGTGTACTGGCAGTGGTGAGCCTGGAGCTCCCAGCCCTGTGCTACCTGGGAGCTGGCAATCCATAGAAGAGAAGTGATGGAAAAGCAAAAATAGAGCAGCAGTAGGCATTGGTTTATGAAGAAAAACAGCATGAGACAAACAGGCCAAACTTGGTCAGTCCATGAGCGGGGCAGATCAGCTATGGAAAGTCTCCAAGCTTAAGCTGACAACTTGAAAGAGGGGGAGACTGCTTTCTAAGGAGATGCAAGAAGAATGAATAGAGGAACTCAATCATTTTTACTGGAACAGGTTGCCCAGAGAAGTTGTAGATGCCCCATCCCTGGAAGTGTTCAAGGCCAGGTTGGATGAGGCTTTGAGCAACCTGGTGTAGTGGAGGGTTTACCTGCCCATGGCAGGGAGCTTGGAACCAGATGTGCTTTGAGGTCCCTTCCAACCCAAACCATTCTATGATTCTATGATTCTATGATAATTTTCTTACTGCAATGTTTTTAACTTGTGGATTACCTAAGGTTGCGAAGCTTCATTTTTGGAGCATCTTTGAACTGCACAGGGAGCTGGAGCATATACTTCAAAAACAGTTCTGTACTGGTGATGGAGTTGAGTAGATGACTGGCCCTAAAACATCTGATTTAATAATTTCTATTGCGTAGTTTTGCATGGCTAATTCATAGTCTACTTTTGGAAAAAGAGGATAGATAGGACATCTATTCTGCAGTTGACAAAGGCATGGACATGAAGCAGTGTGTGTTCAGTGGGATAGCTGAGCTTGTGAAAAGGAAACTGGCCTCAAATACTTCAGCAGCCAGTGTAGAATCAACGGTAGAAACTCCTAAAACTAAGTCACGTTGCTTATTATCACATCTCACTTCTGAGAAGGAAAATAAAGCTTTACATAATACTTTCACTATTTTATGTCTAGGAAGAAGATATTTGTATTTAAGTTACTGTTAATGAAGGGTGGTAGACTAGAGGTTATATCTTTTTTTCTGACTAGTGCAATTTCTACGTTTGAATTAAAGAGCTAGTTCAAATTTTTAAAGAGGAACAAATTCCTCTGATCTGTAAAACGTGTTTTTGAAATGTATTTGTGCTGCCTCCATGTATTAACTCTCTTGATGCAACTATACCGTATATCAAACCTTGCTGAAGTAGTATGTGATAGACAAGAGACAGCAAAATCCTAGTGAGGGGAAGGATGGTCACAATCCTTTCTTATTATCTTGAACAAATCTCAGTTAACATTTCTGTACCTCAGGTTTCCCAGCTATAAACTGAGGATAAAATTCTTATTTCCTGGAGAGGTACTGCTAGACATCACACTACTGTTTGTAAAATATTAGAGCAAGGTGCAGGGCATCATCACTGTCTGCTGATTGTCAGAATATACATGGAAGGAAAAGAAATGCATGAATGTGTTAAAATGGGCTGTAATTTCTTTATGGAGGCTTGGGCAAAATTCCAGTTGCTTTAAATCATGTATTTAATTAATACCCATTCTATTCAAGTGCTGCATCCTAGCCAGGAGCTGACGTATTTGCTTTGCTATAAACATAATAGGATGAGTTTGTGGCAGAAGAGAAGGCTTATTTTTAAGCTTCTTATAGATATTTATGAAATAAATGTTTCCTGATCCTGCAGGGAAGAGGGGGATATAAAGCAAGCAAGTCATATGTGGAGTAGGACACCACCACCTTGAACAAGCAGGCTCAGTCCCAGTGTCACTGAGACCACTGGCAGGGTCAGAGCTAGCTTTAACTGTCAGCTGCAAACATACCCCTCTGTGGAAGGCCACGGATGGAGCTAGACATGCAGGTCTGGGAGCTTGGCTCTGGCCCAGATTGAAAATGGAGCAGAGGAGGCAGCAGCCTGGGGAGAACATCCCTGCTGCAGCCCCCCCATGGACTCTGGTTAGTGCCCTGGTGCCTTTCATGCTGCAGGGAGCATGTGGGTTGCAGGATGCTGAGCAGCACCAACCTCTCGGGCGTCTTGGTTCATCAGCATTGTTTCATATATCTTTGTGCCTCCAGCTTCTGATGATATTTGAGTTGCTGACAGCACCTAGGATCTCCATGGAGACACTGAGACACAGAGCACCTCAGAGACATACTTGGTGTGCCGGCTGTACATGTCTAAGCTAATCCCTGTGCCTCCTGCCTCCTGTAGGACCAGGAGAACAAGGGTAGGTTGAGACTTCTGCCCTCTTGGGCACTCAGCCTTGGTTCCATGTGCAGTCAGAGGAGAGAAACTGTTGTGATGCCTACAAAGAGTAGGCACAATATATCATTCCTGACCTGCCCTAGAAAACATTGGAAGTTTGTGGCAACACGTGAAGTGGGAGCTAGATCCTTGATGACTGGCTCTGCTTTCCTCTTGTTGACACCTACAGCTCCTGCTGACTTCAGCTTTAGCTACAGACGTGAGTATTTAAGAATCAGGCTTCATATTCCCAGAAGTGGATTAAAATTATGTCTAGTAATTTATGCAGGTTATGACCACACAGCATATGGAGAATGAGTACTCTCTCCATTATTGCAGTCAGATATCTTTACTCTGAGTTTATTAATCAAAAAGAAACTGTATATCAGAGTTTTGTATTTAAGCCATATAAACAGCTCAGAGTCCAATAATATTTCTATGAAATATTAAAGTTGAGAAAGGTTTATAACAAGGGCTGGTGGGCAGAGTAGCTAAATCAGCTTATAGAAATGAGATAGACAGCAATGAAAAATAATTGACTGGGTGCCTGCTTGTAGATTCCAGCACTTCTCAGCCAATAAAAAAGAAATAGATAGATTCTGTAGGAGTTCTTGAAAAATGTCCTCTAACTTTCATTTCAGTTGATGCTAGAAGTTTATGGCTGGGGACACAGAATTGTTTCATTCCAAGTTGCTGTTTCCACTCTGCATTGGTTAGTCAGTCTGTTGGCTGGTTGGTCGTCTCTTTTGGTGACATTCTATCAAAAAAACACCAGTATTTTTTTTCCAGTGGATAGGAATTCACGTTGTGAAGTAGTAACTTTCTTGGATGCCCTAGAAGACACAACACGGATTGGTCATGAAAAAGAAGTGGTGGGGAAGAGAAAATTCTGCTATTGGTGTCACACTGTAAATTCCTTAGCCTTCAGGAAATCAGAAGCGCCCGATCCATGCCATTGGTCAGTAACTACTACATCATAAAGAAAAAGATGTTAAAGAAGGAAAAAAAATAAGCCTAGCGAACTCTTGGTTTTACACTAGTTTTATACAGAACTAAGTCTGTTGGCATCTGATTTAGTCAGGTCAAAAGGAGAACAGGGCTTTTCTCTGCGCAGTTTTGCTAGTATGTTTTCGTGTCTCAGTTGTGTCATCTTTTTTTGCTAGACATTATTAAATAGCTGTAATACTAAGCTGCTTGTATTAAGGTAATATATATGACAGTAATGAATTGGACCCTTCACAGAGATGAAGCTTTCACAGAGACATAAGCCAAGGCAACAACAAACAAACAAAATGTCCATCCAGATGTTAATGAAACAATACAGTCCTTTTATTGTTTGGTAGAAGACCTAAGGCTGTGTCATTTAACTAAAGGCAGCCATTATAAAGCAAACAAAACTGAAGGCATCAATCTAGCTTTCATTAAATAGTCTGTGTTGTGGGGTGTGTGGACTCTGTTAGAAACAGACTGAATTACAGCCCTGACAGACTGTCATCCTCCAGCACTTTGTTTAACTGGATCAACTCTCTGTTCACTAGATACATTACTGCGTTTATTTTAAAGCCACGCGTTTGGTTGGGTTTTTTTAATCAGGGGCTAAGCTCATGTTTATTTGAGGCTTCAGAAAAGTATATTTCTTTGCCAGTGGAGAATCTGCATCAGCTACAAATGACAAAAAAGGAAAGCTGACTCATGGCAAAGATTTGATGTAAGTCAGTGGGAACATTTAATAAATAGGAATTTATGTCCTACCACGGAAAGGCATGTGGACTATGGGCCAAAAATGGCTAGGGCATAATTTCACCAAAGCTACATCAAGGGTAGCTTTGATTCTTTGAGGTGAGGCAACAGTTCTCAAGTGAGACACACATGGCCTATGAAACCAACACATCCAAGTGCTGAGGTGAGGAAAACTGCCCACCATCTGACGGGAGACATTCGGAATGAAAGCAGTCTGGGCTTAGGTTAAGAGGAACGGTCAGTCCTGAATGTTGGGAAGATAGGCCTATTAAGCAACTTATTATTATGGGTTGCCCATGATGAATTTATGACATGTTGGTAGAGAGTGAAAGCATCTTTCAAATAAGAAAAGTTATCCTTGTGTTCTTTGTTGTTTGTGTGGTGAAGCTTCAGTTCGGATTCTATTTTAAGTAGCAATTGTTTATAATGATGGCTGTTAACACGTACGCTCTTTTTGCCCTCAGACATCCCAAAGATCTTTTACAGTTTACATAGAAGATCACTTTGTTGACATGGATGTTTTGAGCATAGGAAATCTTGAGCCCATGAGGATCTGTTCCTATAGCACCTGCTGCACACCAAGTCGAAAAACTAGTCTAAGCCCAATGTGGAAGGCTTTTTGTTTTCTTAGATAGACGCCATGGCTGGAAAGGTGCTTCCTCTTAGATCCGAGCTCTTAGGAGACTGTTTTAATCATCAGGAACGTGTAGTGTGATGTTTTGCCTTCTAAAGCAACACAAATACAAAAGTCTTCAGTCCTAAAAACCACTGTCTCAAATTCTGTTTTCTGCTCTTTGGTCCCAAACATAGAGCAAATTTAAGACAATAAATACCCCTAATGCATGTAGATAACTTTGCTGCTAATATTGAAAACGTGAATTTCAGTCTTGATGGCAGTGTTAAATCAGAGGACTGAGCTGGCAGCCTTTGCACTCTTCAGGAATTGCCCTTTGTCTATGATCCATAAAGTTTAAGTTTCTTTTTCTCCAGTTAATAATGAATGGCAGAAATGGAGCTTGCTAAAAATCTTCATGCTTATGTTTTGGGCTCGAAGCAAGTTTACTTACTTTTTAAGTGAACTAACTTTTCCTTTTTCAGTGTTCTTTTTTTCCTGGTGCTTTCAAGTTTTAACTCTTCAGATAATGTAAGCTAAAGTCTGCAAAGGAGATTCTGGGTGAGAAGCTCTCACTGTTGTGAGGGAACATGTCTTTGTGGTGAGTTTATTTGGACCACTCTGTGTTTCTCTTTGCTCAGGCAAGCCGTATGGTGCAGATGATTTCCTCCCCGTGCTCATGTATGTGTTGGCCCGCAGCAACTTGACTGAAGTCCTTCTGAATGTGGAGTATATGATGGAGCTCATGGACCCTGCTCTGCAGCTAGGGGAAGGTAGAGTACAGTGTTTGCTTCTGGGATATTCACTTTGGAAATCATTATTTACTTCGCTTCAGTGTTTGTGAGAGTGGGGCAGCAAGGCTCTAGCTAGGCTTTATGGGTAAGCTTTGACCAAGCTTTTCAAATCTGAAGCTCTAAACTTATGTGAAATATCTTAACTGTTTTTAGCAGTACAGTGCCCTTAGATACCAGCTAGAAAGGCAGGGACCCAGCATAAATGAGAACTGCGTTGCTGGATTAGTAACCTAAACAGAGACGCCTAGTGTTCTTTGGCCCAAAGGCTGAAAAGTTAAAAGTTCTTTGCCTAAAATTAAACTGCTGCTGCAATCCATTGTGCAGACAATTTTATTTATTCCAATGAGAAAAGAGCACATTTCTTAAACTGCATTGTATGCCTGGGTCCACACATCGTTCTCATGACCATTCTACTCTTAAATTTGAGTGACCCCTTTGACAATGTTCTCTGACTGAGCATCATAGTGACGCACAGAAAGGAAAGTTGGGTTAGAAAGGAATATTGGTTTTGAATGTGAATAAAGACGTCTGCTATAAGAGGGATAAATACCCCAGGGAACTGTGGGCCTTTAGTTTCTTAAATATAGATTGCGTGGCAGGGTTATGCGCTCTGAATTAGGAACACAGATAATTTTTCACCAGGTAGTCACTAAACCAATAAAATGGGTTTTATTTTAGACTTTGATTTGGTAAGTACTGAAGTTCTAGAAAGGAATCCCAGATGAACAGCAGCAGACTAATTTTATTTATATTAAATGGAGATAGAAGTCTGTAACTAAGAGCATGTCATCCCAGCACTGTGCAGAGGTGGGTAAAAGTAAGTACTAACAGAATGAGCAGTA